TATATATATATATATTTCTCTTAATTAATTTATTCTCATCAGTCTAAGTTTTAAATTATAACTGTTTAAAAATTAAAATTTTTTTAAATATGAGATTAAAAAATTTTTGGATTCAAAATTTCGAATCTTTTAGATTATTAAAATCGCAGTACTTTTTTATCTCCTTAATTTCTTTATTATCTCCTTAATCTCCGTTGTTCTTCTTGGTTTTTATGCATAAATAAATCCACATCTAAAAATTTTAATGTTACTGTCTTAAATTGTCAAAGTTCTTCGTTTAACTTGTAATTGCGATGGTTGGAATCCCCGATTGAAGTATTTACAGTATTAGAATTTAGCCCGCTGGCAATTAATAATTCGTCACGGAAGGTTGACAACGCGACTAAAATACCGTTCAAATCGGCTTCGATTCCTTGCAACTGCGAGTGTGTTTTGAGCACGAGCGACGAACTTGCTGTTTTACGCTCGAGTTCTAATTAGCCCCGGGTTTACCGAACGATAATAAGAGAGAACAGTGGGTGGAAATGCGCGCGCATCGAGAGATCGGCCTTGATATGCATTCCTTCTTAGATTTCGAGTTCATATCGCCAAGTAGACTGTGACTCTCCACGAGTTTTGCACATTTTCGACTGTGCCTTATACGCAACCTCCGTTTTACGCATAAATCTCTTTAGGATTCTGTGATCTTTTTCATATTATTTATTATTACAACATATCCCTTTTGGCTAATTATATAATTGCCCAAGTGTAGTAAAGAGGAAGTAATAAACAAAATTTTTTTAAAAGAAAAATATTAAAGTTGGTGGAAAGGAAATTGAGATAGAGAGCGATTATTACAGATATGTTTGTTAAAGATTTTCTTTGGAGACATGTAATTTCTCATATTGTTCTCATCGCGTAATTACTGATGATTCCTGTGTTGCTTATAACATTTCTGTATCATAGCTTCTCGTGTAAGAAAAGCGAATAACTGGATCTCTCTCGCGGCGATTCTATACACCTGACTGCGCGTCTCCGTCGAATAATCGTGCCGTGATTTCGCGGTAACCATACATCAACGATCCTCGACCTCTCTTATTAAGAGTGATCAGCCCGGCGAGTTATGCTTGGAATAGAAAGTCACGGCGAGTGGCCGCATGAAGAGCGTTATGATACCGGCCGACCGATCTGATATGGCGCGAAAGGCGCGCATATATATGCTAGAAATAGAAAGTGCATCATGCGAGCGCGCACGTTTGCGATTCGTAAAATTCAGATTTACTTTGACCGAATAGTGATAATGAACTCTTCTCACGAATTTAACTGCGCATTCCGCACGCGCTTTTTTCGTTACGTGCTCGCTTCCTTTTCGTGAATATATGAATTGCACGTTATTTTTCATAGTTTTGTCATTTAACTTTTCTGACAAATCCTAAAGTTATTCATGAAAATAAGATTAGATTTTTATTCACATATATATATATATATATATATATATAATCGCAAGAAGTTAAATAGGAATCCGTTATTATTAAAAGTATGGCATATAATTTCGGAGTTGGGAAAAATCTGGGCTTCTTTAAAAAAGCTCAGCCGAACTGGCTTTTAGGGGTTTTATTGGGGTTTTTTTGGTGATTTTTAGGGTTTTTTTTTATAAAATTCACTATTTGATATTTTTTCACGTAATATTTAGTTTACGTTGTATTCATTATTTAATTACATATTAAAATAAAATTAATTCTAAAAGAATTTTGAAAAAATATTATAACAATAATTTTATAAGAAATTTTTGTTTCTGAAGAGGGCTCAATCATGTAACCGAAACATGTTTAATGTAGCTGTAACATTATTAATTTTTATATGATCAACGATTGAAATATAATATTCTCTATGCATCAAGATCCGCAGTTGGCTCTTATATGTATACCTTATATTATCTCATTTAGTGTTAAAATATTATAATGAATTTTTTAAATATAAAAACAAAACTTCTGTGGTGAAGATAAAGAAAGAAATGATGATATTACATATAAAAAATTACATACATAAAATAATAAAAAATATTCGGGTATAATAAAAAAATCAGCTCAAAAGTGGTGAATGTATATTATACATTTTATAGATATTTACATGTAATTTAGATTCAATTTCAAATAATTCATGGAAAAAGGAGTTATAAATATGCATTAAAATAAAATATGCCTTTAAATAAAATTATATTACAGTTTTAAATATTACAAAATATTATATATATATATATATAATTATTTTATGTATATACATATATATATATATACATATTAAAATTAGTATGATATAATAAAATTATATCAGCCTAGTTATGTAGTTTAGTATACTTATATTTATTAAATATTTACAAATACATTCTTTTTATGTATTTCTGAGATTAAAAAATTTATTTTTCTTATACAATCCCAATAAAACCCAGAAAAACCCTCCGGGTTTTTTTGGAATGGGTAAAATAATGCCAATTCTGTGATGATTTAGAGGTTGTCTTTATGACGTGTTTTGCGATTTAACACGGGGAGACAGGCTGCAATCAAATGACTGTTTTCGATCTAACAATTGTTTTTAAATCAATAAGTTCCTATCGGAAAGACGTGGCGAAGTGTTTTCGCAGAGTACGACATAAGCGTGACGGTCTTTGTAATGGTAGCGGTTTTACTTCGCGCTCTCTTCTCACCCTTCGTCGTAATCGTAGCGATTATTCATGAGAATATAGCGCAGTAACTGTATTCTCACGGTGCAGTGACTTCAATACCGCTATAATGTGCGCTGTGCGCGTTTGAGACGCTACTCGAAGCGAAGACAGCAGAGCGTATTGTAATGCAGCCGCTCTCGCCATAATCGGCATCGCGCATTCGTATCAATGTCAATGCATCACGATCGGATAAAAATAACAATTCCGTGCACACTCTCGCGAATAAGTATTAACGAGAGGATATCGAATAGTACCGTAAACCACAGTTACATTGTCAAAGGATGAGTAACTCTGTGAGATAGCTTTTTTCCTGTTTCTCTCATTTGTTTAAGCAGTGTTAGTGACTTGTCGATTGATAAAGGAAACACAGTGATGTAAATAAAAAGATTAGGTAAATATGTAGATTAGGGGAGCCCCCCCAATGACCTTGACCTTGACATATGTTGTCAAGGTCATGACCCCGAG